AACATAACGTCAAATTGTGAAACAAATGTGTAAAGAAGGTGAAATACATAAGAAAATATTAAAGCACAGATGAATGAGTATTTTGATTATCAGCTAATTAAAGAATAAATCAATAAATTTTAATTTTTTATCTTCTTTTTTTTTGACGTAACTCGTAATGTTTCGGAATTACCCAAAATTATCTGCCAACATTGCTGTATTAAATGATATCGATCGAACAAATGTATGTCAAACTCATTTGTTTTCTCATCGGCACGCTTCTCTGATTATATGATTAAATTACCCATCGATAAGAGGCGCTGAGTCAAGAGCATCTCGTCCTTTGAAGGTGTTCACACTCAGACCCACGGATAATCCGATCACAAGCAGAAGAACTGACAGGCAAACGGCGACGTTAATGTACACCATTTTCCCGGTGCAATATTTATGAATGCCTGAAAAAAAAGACGAAATAGTTAGAGTGTTTAACAATAACAAAAGAAATTAAGGAGCAGTAGTTAATTATATGTAATTAATATAAATAAAATAGGAACATAAGAAATTTTGATCTTAATCATATGTATTACTTATGTAAAAGAATATAACGTAAAATGAAAATGAATAATACAGTCTTGGCCATAAATATACAGCATTCTCAATTTATTGCATTTTCATGGAAAAGACTGTAATAAAATGTAAATGGAAACTAATAAAATACTAAAATTGTTATAAAAATAAATTTTATTTTTCAATAAGACTGTTGTTTAATTTATTTCTTTAGATATAAAACGTTTATGTTAATTTGTGGATGTGTTTTATACTTTTGGCCAAGTCTGTATTTGCGGAAACAAAATGTGAATGAAACAAAAAATGACGTTTCATTATCACATCAAGATCTGTGATATTTTTCACTACCTGTATTTATTGATCTAAAATTTAGAGGAAACGGAATCTTTCCAAAGCTACGCACACACATATATGATTCAATAATGGAGTGTTTATCTTTCGTCGTAATTCTTCATAGGGTATTCACTCCACGGGTGAATGATAAACACTCTTGATTCGTTTAGAGCACTTATGTTGGATAAGTGTTAGTTATTGACGCTATTGATAATACATGAGAAAGTACGTGACATAGTCGTAGTTTACAATCAAACATAACGTTTGATAATTAGTAATTAGATATAACAATATAAATCCAAAAAGTGTATATAATTTATGACAGATAATAATTCAGATGATATTAAGAATTTTTGGATTATCATATATAAGTTTATATAGCTTTTCGAATTGCTGTGTATAAGATAGTTCTAGATTAACGAAAAGTAAGATTGAAAATTCAATATCAAAATGTTAGCAATCTAACGATATACATCTGAAAAAATTTATATATGTATAATTAATTTATAGGCATTAAACTTTTACTTGTTGTGTATAATTAATATTGGATAACTAAGAACTAAGCTAAGAACTTTTAGATTGTTATGTATAGATTTCTTTGAATTACTGTAAAGTCGAAAATTCAATAACGAAGTGCTTTGATACTACATAAATCTGAAAAGTGTATAAATATAATCTAATTTATGTTAGATAATGCTAAGAGTTTTTGTTTATACATTTCCTTGAATGTATAAAATAGTTTTAAATTAGCAAAACGTAGTCATACAAATTCGAAAATTTAGTAACAAAATGTTAGTAAGTTTGGGAAAAAAATTCTTATTATATTAGATAGATTAAATTCTTATTGATTAACTTTATTAGATAGATTAAATTCCTATTGATTAACTTTTTCATTAAATTACAAATGTAATAGAGCTTTTTAAAAATAAGCAAAATATTTATAACTAAAGAGTAAAGAATTATTGTACATTGATAAATATTATCAGAAGTATACATATATCAAAGAAAAGCCGTTACAATATGAAAATACTTAATGAAAACTATGAAACATTTAATAATTGAATAAAATCTCGATCGAGCACTCTTAGTATGATCTTTGATAAACTTAGGCAAGGTTAAATTGCAACAAACAACTCTGCAAAATCATGCTGCTTATCTCTCTGTCGTAATAATTATTTTTATATTATATTTTTTTATAAAATCGTTGTAATTATTTTTAAAATATCTTATATTTATTGCTATTTTTTCTAATTTATAGGTTTCAAATAATTATTAAATGTTTCATGATAAGTATTTCCATTATATATATATGTTTATAGATTTTTTTATATATTTCCAGTGCTATTTGTTAACATAAAATGATTTTTTGAGAAAAGTGACTTTTCAAGAATTTCTAAATAAAATAAAAAAATTTAATCTTTATCAATAACATAATATTATTATTAAAATTTGAACAGCTCGTATTATAAGAAACTTGATTTTTATTATTATGCACGTATTAAGATTATATGGATTTAAGCATAGAGCAAATATGTTTACAATATAAGAAATTTACCAGTATGTCTGATGTTATCACGTTGTCCAACTGGAGAGACAAATCGAAGCCTGCTAAGACTTTATAGATATATACATATATAAACATAAACATATACACGTATCATTTTATTACTCATTGCAATTTGAATTATCAATTATAATTATCGGAACAAACGTATCATAATTAAACGGATTTATTTGGACGGTATGGTAATAAAGTCTATTCGTTTCAATTGTGTGAAAAGTTGATAGTCCGAATTAATTGAGTTTTGGATACATCGACTGGACAATAAGAAGCGAGATAAGAAAATTTACAAATACCAACGTCAGTTGTATCGTCAATTTATCGCACTACAGCATTAAAAATTTCCAATACCTATTTTTACACTTTTTCACTTTAACGAAAGAGACGAGTGGAACCGCATAATGAATAAAAAAAATTAAATTACTTGACAATTTCAAAACAAAATCCGCGAAGTTAAGCATTTTTTTTATGTCAAAAATTATGTACATAAGCGATTTTATTATAATTATTCTATTTATCTTATTACAGTTAATCGTTTTATTACATCAAGATGAAACATAAGATAGGCTAGAATGACGTAGTCAACTTTTAATTTCCTGCGAAAATCGGTCTTCCAGTATCTTTAATGTTATCACGTGTCCTAACTTGTTATATCTGTCAAAATATGTTTATCGGACACTACGGATCGATATACGATAAGTATTAGATTCACCCATGCCGAACGTAGTGAAGAATTCCCCCGACGGTGACGAGATCAAGCTGTGTACTGTTGTGAGACGACATCGCCTTGAAACGCATTTAATGTGCGTTTCTACTCTACATACATAACTACGTACGGAGCGTTGGTACATAATACATTAGTTTATAATAGGTACCTGCTACGTTTGATGTCTCGCTCTAGGAACGATAAAGCTCAGTTACGTCTGATACTCTTACAGCAGCACGACTCCTATACGACGAAACTATCTCTCGTTTTATCTCGAATTGTCTCAATATAATCCTTCGGTACACGCTATTATACACTTGATAATTATAAAATGCTGAAATTTTTAATTATGTAACAGACTCCTACAGAGAATAAATGCGTGCGTTTACGTTTTATCGATCGCCTGATGCAGACTATCGTGAATTTTAAATGGATGATGGTCGTGGTCAGATATGTGACACGCTGTTAGTATTGAAAAGATATAGTATATGTAACATAAACTATGTAGATTTTTAGTATTGGCAATGTATAGAACAAGGCCAACATCTAATGCAGCTATCAGCTAGAATTTTTTCTACCAGTCATTCTATAGATAAAATGTAATTTACTACTCTAGAAAATATCTTATTTTACACTTAAACAAATATCAAATACATGTTAACGTGTGAAAATGATATAATTGATGTAAGATATAAAGAGATACAGTTTTTTTTTATATTTGCAGTATAAACAAATTGAATTCATCGAGATGTTATATCGAAATATTATTTTTGTGTCTTTTTCATTTAAGTTATCATGTTGTTGTTATAAACAAGCATATTTTTTTTAGAAAAATGCATACAATGTTAAAAAGACAAATGTAGCGTTATCTGTTGTTCTTGTTCTAGTATTAAAATGCGAGATTTCTTTCAATTTTTATAAAAGTATTGCATATGTACCAAAGTATAAATGTTACACATTTATTGTTGCTAATTATAAGACTTCATATCAAGCTATTAAAAAAATTTATGGAAATTCATATTGCATACGTCTTTAATAATTAAAAATTAAATAAAATCAACTAAAAAATTAATTAAAATCGATTAGCAATTAGTGCTAAGGTATTGACGACATTCTTTTTCAAGCTATAATATAGAACAATTAATTAGAGCCGTTATATAAACGACAAGATGATAACAAGTAAGCGAAATATCTGCCTTATCGTCAAATGATAATTTACTTCTGTATAAAGCCTAGAGATGTCATCGAGTGTGTTGTTTAGAATATGCCATCTGATGAGCCGTAAGCTTAAAGTCCTCATTCGGTTAATTTGTAGTAAAAGTAAATCATAATTGATTTTTATTCTTTTGTATTCCTTAATAATTATTGTTATGTAATAAAATATGAAGTAAAGTTCTAATTATTTTTAATAAATCATAGAAAGTAGACTATAAATATGTGTATCAGAATATATAATACACGCAACTTCGTAGGAGTAATTTTTTAATAATGTTGAAAGATAAGGTGGTAGTAAATAGACAAAACTTTAAGATAAATTTTTGTAATACATAAAATACATATTAAGTTTTCAATTCAACTTTTACATTACGCTTGTTTATATACAATATCGAAATGGATCAAATGAGTATATTCCTCGAAATTTTTTCAAAGAGCAGTTTGTTTCGAGTGCAAAACAAAATAAGATTACAAAAGATTAGTCTCCAGCTTTAATACACTAGCTATGTAAAAATTTTCTTGGAATTGACACACATTTCGCATACAATTTACTGCATGCACTTTTTTAGGGTCAACTAATATAGATAGAAAAAATCGCGCGAAGTTTGCCGCACGAAAAGTGGAAATCCATCAAGATTAAATATCATAATGCCTAAACACGCTTTATGGCGTGTATATTAACTTCTAAAGCGCCAGGTGAAGATTTCGCAGCAATGTCGGAATATTCTTTGGACTCTTTAGAAAGCGTCGAGGATGATTCCTTGGAGAAACACATCTCGGTCAATAGTGATAATGACGATAACCTAGGAACAATCAAATCCGATGACAGATCCAGCAAGAATACGTCATTTCAATTGAATTCTACATTAACAACGTTATCCCAGATTAAAGGTACCAAAACACGATGTATTAAATTTAATCTTAGAAAATAAAGTTATAAAAAAAGGATTTAATAATAATCGCAATGCAAAAAAATATCTAAAATATCTTTGACAAAAAACTTTCTTGTTTGGAGAAAACAATATTATATTTTTAAAAGATCAATAAATTAAATTAATTCTACCTCACGTGTCAAATTAAAAGAATAGTCGCGAATTAAAAGGCAAAAAAAAGCTTATGATATATAATGTCGATATTTATAAAAAATAACGTGAGAGATTGGTTGAATATCTCTTCAAGATCTGCCGAAGGTAATGCTCCGGGATTAAAATCCTATATTATCGCATTACATTGGAAACGGCTCTCGTTTTCCCCTCGTTAACGGGAGATAATTGCGCGCGGGAACGTGTATACGTGGCGCATAAACAATAAAAAAGACGAGGACAGCAGCACCGAGAGACGATCCGCGTAATGCGATTCGATTCGCCGTAATCCGGAAAGTCGTAGCTTTCGTTGACGGACGGACAGATAACGCGTGCTAATTAATTAATGACTAGCGCACAGTACCACCAATATGGCGGTGGTCATCGGGAAGTCGATTGAAAGTTCGATGGCAGTCTGAGAGTGCAAAACCGAAGGCGATCGATCGCCTCGTTAACGACAGTATCAATTATATAATATAAAACGTAATATCTGTGGCTGATTCTCCTCTTCCCCCTTGGTCGTTCGCGGTAATGTAAAACTCCGCGGGATAATTAAAGCGACGAATAAAGTTAGGTGGGATAAAGTAGCGCGAGAGAGAGTAACGTGAATGGCAAGGAAATCCGCTATTGATTCTAACGGGAAAAATGCAGGGAGGGGTAAGAGAATAATAGAATTTTATTATATTCCGGGCGAAAATATATCGGAAATGATAAACGGTAGAATATTGAAGAGAGAAGAGTTGTGTTAGGAGAAAGAAACACGTTTTATACTCGCATGTTTTATGTCGCCGTATAAAGTTAACAGAATTATAATACAATGCACGCAAACGCGTTAAATATGTTAATAAATGGAAAAATTACACGAGTACAAATTGCATTACGTCAATTGTAAAATGTTGAGAAAAGCACTCGTTTCGCGATGATATGGGTTTATTTAGTTTTTATGCAAATACGGCTTCGCCGTGCAAAAGAGCGCATTCTAATCACGCATTCTGTCGACAATCTTTTAGACAATATGACGGAGACCAACTGCACCGTACGTGAGGACAGATGCACGGGAACATGCCGCGCGACTCGGGAAGAACCGTGGCTTTGCATAAGAAAGAGGAACGACGTCGGGGAACGGCGGCGTACAGGAGAAGGCGACGAGAGTCGTCGTCGTTGTCGTCGTACGTCAAGACCGACGACGATGGCAACGGCGACAACGACGACGACAGAGACGGAGCGATGTTCCCCGGGGGCGCGAAATTCTTCGTCAAAATGCAGTCTGCGCGACAACCGGGGTGGTATGAGAGCCGACAAAAAACTCGGCAACGTTCTCGTACCATGGATCCGGGGACCGGCCAGGACTACCTCGTATCTGGAGCTTTATCGGCGTAGATTCAGTTAGTCTCTAACGAGATCCTCCTTCGGAACATACGCGGAACAGTGTCGAAACGTGTTGCCGGCTCGCCTTCCCGCGTCGCACTCGTCGTCGACGGCGGATCTTGATAAAAAAAGACGAGGCAAAGCGGTGCAATTTTCCCCCGAGGACGTTTACTTTCTTTCGTGATTAGAAGTCGGGTGCGTTCTGCGTCGCGAAAGAGGTTGAGCGAAGGGGACAATGAGATTCCCAATCCGACGGACGAATCTTGTCGCGTAGCTTGACGTTGTCGTTTCGTTTCTTAAAGTGGAGAGATTTTTAAATTGCAAAAGTAACAGACCAATGAAAATTCTAGGCTTCGTGTTACCTACGTTTTCTGTTTTGATCCGGTGTAGAGGAAAGCATGGCGACAAATGTACCAATTTAAGAGTCCAATTTTCATGAATACAAAAGTTAAAATTATCATTTCAAATACAATGCAAAAAATGGTCTGTTTCTCTTCTCTGAACTTTTAAATTGAAGTAAGCTTTTTAGCTGAATTAATTTCCCGCTCAGAGAAACTATTGACATTGAATTATAAATGTGAATGTGCGAGTCCTCTCTCTCTCTCTCTCTCTCTCTCTCTCTCTCTCTCTCTCTCTCTCTCTCTCTCTCTCTCTCTCTCTCTCTCTCTCTCTGCCTCTGTCTTTTTTTTATCTTTTGGAAAGAAAAAGCTTTTATTTGCGTAATTCACGGGGATCTCATGTAAATTTGTCAGAAATTTTTTTCTCCGTTGCACACATGAGAATCTCGACTAATATACTGTCATTATCCCATGTCCAAGCGGCACGGTAGGGCTGGAAATACTAAATCATACATTTGAGTTTTATTCAAACACGTTATTGTAAGGCATGGAGTTTTATTTTGCGAGATGCTCGCCGCGAAGGGAGACTTTACCGCGGCGCGATGCAGGCATAGCTACCACAGTTTCTACATATTACGGCGCAGTAAAGTTGCACGATGAAAAAAGTTATATTTTTGCGAAAGGGGATTAAGCGTCCGCTTCCTGTAAAATATCTGAAACTTTCGCCAGAAATACTGTAACCGCTTTACGTTTTTTTTTCTGCAATGCACAGGTCTGTCTCCTAATTGTGAAAGTAAACTAATTTTTCGCACGGGAAGGATGACAGGACCCATAATTATAAAAAAATATTTTTTCGCGATACTTCATTATTTTAAATAACTTTTATTATCAATAGATACATTCATCATCTCTCAGCTTATGTTCAGAAAAATAGATATAATAAAATTAATTATGTTATTCTAAACTCTTTCTCAAATAAAACAAAATAAATTAGAATAATCAAATATTTTTAACCAAAATTAAAATGGTAATTACATATCATATTTATAAATATTTATATTCATATTACTTATGGTATATTTATATTAATAAATATTTTGCTCATTTGTCAATTTAATACATTCTTTTTTTAAAGAAAGAGGAAGAGTTTTCCAGACAATAGATAAAAAATATGATAATATCTCGCTCCCTAGCTTTTAAAAATCCTGTCATCCTATAGAAGTACGACGTGCGAAACTTTTCAAGCGCCATTCTCTTCAACGAAGAACCGGCGCTGCCTCGAGAAGTTGACAGTGTCATTTTTCACGTCACTGTCCTCCACTTTTCACGTCACTTTTCCTTTCCACGTGGAATTCGTTCTCTTGACTTTGCCAATAGGTCGTAGTTCATGATTAAACTAATTGAGGCATCTAGTGCGTGCGACCGTTTTTGTGCGATGACAAGCGACAATTGTTTGCTCTGTTCTTCGTCACGGTCGTCAGGGCTAATTTCGCGTCGCCAACGGGAAGTTAGGGTCGCCACGCTTCTTTTTTTCTTGTTTTTTTAGATGTCCCGAAGTACTCGCGTATCCAGTCTCCGGAGGGTTCCACCCTGTCGATTTGTGGCGACAGTCAGCTCGAGGAGCTCAGCTTGGATGAGGGTTGCTCGTCCCTTCCGGGCACCTCGAGGGACGACAGCGAGCTTAGCTTCTACCGTCGCTTTGTCGAAGATCACGCCGTTCGTGTGACGCGTGAGTGTACTAGAAGATCTTGCGAAATATTACGTCACGGAATAACTTCAAATACCGTCTCTCTGGAAGAGCAATGCGAACGTAGCGTGTCGGACAGCAAGCTAAAGAAACCGACGTATCGTCCGTATACTATCGAGGAGTATAGGAGCTTATCGGTGCCGAGACCTGATCGATCTCTGGGTCCTGATAAAGATGAGGTGCAGGCAAAGGTGTGTTTTTGCGACAAATAGATAATAATATAATTTAACGTTATTACACTGGGTGCATTCAGAACGACAACCGCTCACTGAGAGCTCAGTTGAATGCTCATTCTGAATGCACACACTGAAAAAATATACTAAATTTTAATAAATCATTTGTTTGGAAAGTGCCAACTAAATATTTACTAAATATAAAGATATATTTAATTGATACAAACCCATTAATTTATATATATATATATATATGAATATTTATTATAATATTTATTAAAATTTACTATATTTTTTCTCAGCGTTTACGCAAAAAACGGTTTTATAAAAGTCTCTAAGAAAAGAACTCTACATTAATCACATAGTAAAAGTGATTTCAGATAAATTGTTTGAAAGTGTAATATTTTGTAGTTTAGTAGAGGATTCTTTAGATACAAATCTGAAAATAATTTTGTTGGATTATAAAAATAATTATGTAAGGGCTGTGTGGTTGTTCCATATCTTCGGATAAATTAAGTAACAATTCATCTAATGGATAAAAGAATAAAAGAGTAAGAGTATAAGAGAATAAGAGAGTTAAAGAGTGAGCTGAAGTTTATTGAAAGGTAGAACAATTCAGTCTAAGACGCTCAAGCTGGTTTCTAGACTGTCAAAACTTTTTGCAGTATTATTCATCATGCTTGGGCGTCCTACATAATTATTTTGATAGTCCAATAAAATTAATTTCAGCTTTATAGATATCTAGTTAAATTTTTAAATACTTCATCAAAACCGGTCTTTTAAAATCTTTCTCTCACCTTCTGAGATTAGATATTAGTTTGAGCGATAGAAAAAAAAGAAATAGTGACAAATAGCAAATTAAGCACAACAAAGTAAAAGATACAATAATTTAATAAAAAGTATACAATTTTAGTAATATATAAGAAGAGTATTGCTAAAATATTGCTAAAATATCGCGCTTGTGCTTTTTGAGATTGCTATGTAAAACATAGAATAGAAAAAAAAGTATATATTTTTATGCATTTGCAATTTTGTTGTATATTTATAGTTATAAGTTTTGACGCATTTTGTTTGTGATCAAATTTGTTGAAGATTCATAAGTGTGGCACGCAATTCTCATTTCCGAAAACTTATCCGTCGTCCGTACGTTCGATGAAAGTTTCTGGGACAAGGAAAGTTTCCTCTCTTCGATAAATTCACATTTTCTCTATATTGCTCTCTCTCTCTTGATAATGAGTATAAAAGTATTTTATATTACTCAGGAACGTCATTAAAACTTGGCGTGCCGAGTTCGCTTGTGCTTTTATCGCGAGAATTTATCTTTGCCCCGTTTCTTTTATCCTTATCCTTTTATCTCGCTAGATGTTTATTGCTGCGTCTTCCCCGTTGGTGTCCTCGATGTGAGGTAATTACGTTACGGACTGGATCGCACCGAGAGTATGTACGTTAATAAACAATGTTCTCTTGGCCCGACGAAGTTACACAGTTACGGCGCAAGAACGTAACGCTGGGATTCGATTAATGCGGTAATTCGATTAATTCTTCAGCATCGTCGATGCTTATCGCCAACTGATGCAGCTCGTAGTAGGTCATCTCAGTTGTACCATTTTTCAGTTGCACGCAGCACAGCATGAATAAACAGTTTCGACAATAAAATATAGAGTAAAGTAACCATTTCAGATACCGGTACGGCGAGAGAAAATTCGGTATCGGATCTGACGAAATAATGCGGAAATTATGGACATAGAGAATTTTTTGGCACCAAGTAGAGAAGGCTCGATTCGCGAAATGGGAACTTTTACCGTGCGATTTTATTTCATGTCGAGCTGGCCTTGTCGATAAGTTGCCACTGTCGAGAAAAGCTTCCCTCGCTGGAAAAGCGAAGCGAAGGAAACTCCGAGTCGTACTGCGAGGACCCGACGGTATAGTTAACCCTTTTGAATTGGAAGACCCAGCACTCCTTAAAGGAGTTGCGTTGGCGACGCGCACGACGCTTTGTAGCTTCAATCTAATAAGCACGCAACTCGTTTCCAGGATCGAGCGTGCTATTTCCGCTCGTCTATTCCCTATTTCCTCTCGGCGCGGATACACAATATCAAATTAGGGGCTGCGTACGATAAATTACAGCCCCGACAATCGCGCGTGACGATGAGCGTCACGCCGACGAGTCTTCCTCATCTGTCTCTGGAAGACGCGCGCGGACGCGCAAGAAGCGCCTCGCAGTTTGTCGCCGAAGCGAAAAATTCAATTCGCGAAGTACTTTAATCCGCTAATTGCTATAATCGTTTCTCCGCGACGTAAAAGTCGAGAGTACGTTACACCCGTGTGTCTCTCGGTAGCAGTGGAATTGTCTGGGGTAAACTGTTGTAGCGAAATTTTTGAATTATTTCTCGCAAGATCTATAAAATATTCCTTGCGCGAGTTTTCCTTGGTCTCACGTGTACCCTTTTCCTCTATAAAACATAATTTTTCATCAATTTTGCGGAATGTGAGAGATAGAAGCTTCACATTCTGATGTTTCTAAAATACAAGTAATTTGTACTTTAGTACTTCAGTGCCTTTGTGCACTTTTCGTTTTCAAACTTCCTTATCCCCATTCAAAGCTTTCTTATACTACGTACGCTACTGCTTTGATATATGTTTTTTATACAACCTCAGAGAGTCCACTCTAAGTCGTCCATAACCGCAAGTATTACGTATTACGCGGAGCTATATATCCGGATATTAATATTTTGCAAAAGAAAGGGATGCCTTTCTCTTGCGTTCCTCCGCAGTTGATAACGCAAATTTCGTAAATTAGATATGCAATAAATAAACGGGGAATGCCGCTTATCAGTGACATCTGCAGATTCGTAAAATGACATTCCAGCCGACGTTCTTCAGGTCTGGCAGTCGCGACGTCGCGGAATTTCGCGCACGAATCCTCTCGTTGTGGATCGCCGCGCGACGGCAGGTGCATAGCGCGACGCAGGAAAATAGCTGTTGTCCTCATAGTTGGAGGGAACGCAGTAAATTCCCGCGGTCTTTGAGCGTCTCAGCCCGGCTCGACTGGCGGAGGGTGGGTGTTTCTGTAAATTTTTCAAGACGCTTCCTGCGCGGTCGGCGAAACGCGCGGAAAACAAGCTTACAGCAAAGACTCCAGAGAGAATCAAGGGATAGGATAGTGGAAAGGATAGTGTTCTCTATTCTGATTGGTTCCGCCATTTTCAGGTTACTTCCGCAAATATGCATATCCGCGGAAAAAAAATTGGTTAAAGCAACTGAAAAACTTGACTGATTCAGTAAATCTATGTCATTATGTATATAGGGATAGCCAGTTTTCCATGTTAAAGTAGAAAAGTAGTAAAGTTATACACAGTTGAATAAAATTAGCGATTATAAATAATCATATTTATTACAATGGCATAACAAATTTGTTTATACAGCAAAGATAACTTTCTATGGAAATCAACCCAATATTACACATCAACATTTTTAACAAAACATGTTAGTTAAGATGGCGCGTACTTTTGCTGCTGTAATAAAGAAACTTGTTACATTAGCAATTTTCTTTCTAGTAAAAAATTAACTGAATTAGCATACTGATGATTGTTTACAGACATAATTTCTTTGTTGGACCATTAAATCTTCTTATAGATGTTGAACTCGCGCAGCAAGCTATAGCTTTGCTAAACCACCCAATCTATTTTTTTTCAGTTTCGATGTTCAGTGCTGGCAGTTGTATATTGAAACACGGTTTAAACCTAATCGGAATTGAAGTTTAAAGAGGTTAAATATCCTGTTTGTTACCAAAGATTACCTAAAAATGGCAGACTTCCGATGAATTTGCTCCATTCTTCCTCTTGATTCTCTCTAGAAGATTTTTCTTACACACATTAGTAGTCGTTTGCGCGCGGATCGATGTGTTTGTTCGTTCGTGTATTTGGAAGGAAGCGGAATTCCGAATGTGGCCCGTCGTGCTCCCCCTGTCGTGCCATTTTCACGGAAACAATTTTAGCAGATTGGAAATTAAAATTTCACGGGCTCCATCGCAATAGCACCAGCTCCATCGTCCATCTCGAGACGTCGGAAACCCTTTCTCTTTAAACGCGCCTCGGGATAAACGGAAGTGCTTCATTATTGCGTCACAGGGACTCCCCGGCATCGCTTCGAAGCCACTGGCGGAGATGCTGAGCCTGCGGTAAAAAGTTTCGAAGTGCTTCGCCTTCTCGTTGCGGTTGAGAAAGAATGAACATGTCACGCGTCATCTTCTTTTACTAAACGCCGCGAGCAACCGGAAAACGAGCTCATAAAACTCGTTTGAGCATGCACATTTACCGCACTTGATTATATAAATTATCTTGAGTTACTTCTTTATGAAAATCCATATATGTACGTAAATATTTCATTTTTTATTAATTACAAGAAAAATATTTTGCTAAATTGTTTAAAAATGTTTGAGCTTTTGAACTCCGTGCTGTAAAAGGATTTAAAAACAGTATTTTACGCTTTCTTGTTCACGTATTTTTAAAAGTTAGATAGAATTGTAAACGGATATAATACGTTTTAAAACACATTAGTCGAAAAAGAACATAAAAATGGAAAGCGTATGTATATCCGTCTATTAAAAGACACAAGATAATTTTATTAAATAAAAACGTTTCGTTTAAACGTACTAAGCTTGTTATTTATAACCGATTTATAAAAATATATATAAATTGTCTATAAATTTATTATTTACAATAAATAATTTGTATAAGTTAGATAAACGTTAGATCAGCATCAAGTGAAACAGCTTAAATAAACTTTAATTCAATGACATTTAAATTCGTACTTTAATTAGAAAGATTGAGAACCAAAGCTAGAGAGTTCAATTAAACCGTCGCTGATTAAAAATTGACTTTAAATTGATCAAAGAATCCTATCAGACGAAAGAACGGAATGCGCTCTATGTAAGGTATCGCAAAAGGGCGCGGCGTCACGCCAATACGTTGTCCGCAATTAGACGCTGTAGAGAATCGCGACACGTAAAGCCGTAAAAAGCTTCAATTGCGCAATCGAACTTCGCCGATACAACGTCCAAGTACAGGCGAACAGAAATTTCCGCTCTAACGGCGAACGCCGTGAAGAAAGAGAGAACAAAAGAGAAAAAGAAAGGGGGAGAGAGAGAGAGAGAGAGAGGAAAGGAAAAAAAGAAGACCAGGCGGGACTTTTATCCAGGTGTTTCTTATAAGCGCGAGCGCTCGTTGTACACTCGCAGGCTATTATCCGGGATTACCGGGCCCGCCCGGGTACGAGAGCAGATAAGTACAGCAATATACGGGAGCAAATTTGTTCTCGACGAAGCCGCCACTGGCATCGCTATCGCCGTCGAGGGTAGTTTAAATGAAACGCCGGCGAGTAAAGCCGGACGAGGTGTCCGCGGATGACAGCGGCGGCTAAGGCGTGAGACCGGCATGTCCATAATTATAGCGACTCCCGAAAGCTTTGCGTTAATATCGCACCCGGTAATTGTGCGCGGCATTAATTGTCCTCGGCGTTAACATCGAGATGTCACCGCTGGAATTGAGGAAATATCGCCGAATATTAAAACGAGTATGACCTTTAATTAGTTAACAGTTACTTTAATTAGTAATTATACAACATTATATTATTATTAAACTTATTTATGTCAAATGTAATTTTATTATTGCGACGTATTTAATACAGTTATGACGTCATGATATTTGATATGTGTATTATTACTTAATTATAATAAATAGTAATATTATCTTATTCAACGTTATATGATGATACTACAATTATACTCTTTTTTTTACATGAACACATGATATTAAAAGTACAAATTCTGTGATCAATCATTCAGTGGTCATTTATCGGTATGCAACGTATCCGTATCGCATATTTCATGAAATACGAAAAGTTGTTTGTTCGAGTTATCCATTTTTTAAATGTGGTGCCGTTCGATCTGCCATGACTGATCCGTTCCCTCTGCCAGATGCAATTTCTTCTTTCTTTTCCTTTCCCCCTTTTATCCGTCTCTCTCGATCGTCATGTTTATCTTTTCTCCCGTTCACCACTAGGTCCATCCTGTTCTATATTTCTTTCCGCTGTCCCATCCTAAATCTGCGTGCCGGTTTCTCTGTCATCGACCCCGATGAGCATTTGCATAATCTACTTTGTATCAGATTCGAGTGGGTCGAGTTGACAGCCCGCGATTTTCGGTACGACCTCGATCGATCGATCTCATTGCGCCTGCAAAGACCGAATTTGAGTGCAATAGTTTGCAATCAAAACGAGAAACATTTAAATATTATATCCAGTATAGCTTATTAAATTTAAAATATTTTTCGTTAGTTGTAAATATTATATCCATATTAATAACGAATTCAGTTACATGTTAATACTTCTTCTCTGCTACTCAATCAAAATATCGTATTGCGGTTTTTGAGATCTTTATAATTTCTGATATTTAGGAATACTTAAGAAATTATTTTGCTTTGAATGTATCTCTGTTCAAATTTTTCTCAGACAAGTGCTAATAAATTACGCTAATATAATATTTCATATCTGTACACTTATCTAAATATGTATAAAAATAAATATTTAGTAATTAGAGTTCATCTTATATATATATAAAAGTGAAATTGTATTAAATACTCGATTTGTTAAGTTATTATCTTTTAATTTTGTTGTGCTCATATTTCATTAACCCGGGAACAGTTATCTGGAATATTTTTACTCACCAACGAAAAAATTGTCACTTAGTATGTGGTTATTATTTAACATATTTTCCTTCTTTATTAATAATTATTCTTTACAAATTATTCTTTAAATATTCAATTCCATAAAAAAATATATTAATTAAAATTGATTAATTTTTTTAAAATACTCTCATAATAAGCTACTTAACCTGTTTATTTCATTTAATATTTATTTGGTTTATCTTTACATTTTTCAGAAAATTGTGATTAAATTCATATTCATAATGTTTTCAAATACTAATCAATCGGAAAATAATTAATAATATATAATGTTGTTAATAATATGATTTCAATTGAGGTAGAAAACATCCAAGATGATTGTTTACGTAAAAGAAAATTAACTATTCTCAGGTTAAAAATGTGATAGTGTTTGCCTAATTATTTATATCTTCAGTTTGCTGTGAGTTTAAGTAGAACTTAGTATTAATAATTAAACATTTATTAGTAATGTATATTTATTAAAATACATTACTAATATATTACGACTAGTAATAGGAGCGTACTGCTTATGTGAACTGTCGCAAAGACGTATAAACGCATAAATGATATACATATATTAGAGTCTGACACTCAACTTCGTTGTATGTGTATGCCGAGAGATATTACCCGTACGTTGTGTTTACTCACACTTTTGTCGGCGTATGCCTCTTCATGGCAAACAGCAATCTACACAACCACATCTATCCGCAAATTTGCGGGCGCCGGTATATTCGCGAGTGCATACAAATGCAGAGGTATGCGCGCGAGTCGAAGAGGTTATCCTCCTTGTCGTTGGATTCTCGCAAAAAGTAAATAAAGCCTTTAGTCAGACGTAGCACTGGCGTGTTTAGCTTGAAAGTTTCACCAGACTGAGTTGGTGATGTTAGTAGTACAGACGTAGTGACTTTGCTAGTAGTAGTAGTAGTAGTAATAGTAGTAGTAGTAGTAGTGCAAATAGTAGTAGTAGTAGTCATAGTGGTAGTAGCTTCAGGGGTTGTTTGTTGTTGCAGAGAGAATGGCTGATGCGCCGGAGATCGTACGGAGACTCGGTTAGTGCGCGCAATCGCGAGCAGATACTGCAGCGTTCGAGAAGATTCAAGGTACGACGATATGCGATCCGCGCGTTTGGATGGATTACCGATCGCGGTTTATCTTAGGCATGAGAGGGTAAATTGATAGCTTCGACGATTATGCCGTTGCTACGCCGTTACTACAAGCTACATCTGTTTATGTTTACGTGGTTGATCGCGAATTATGCCATTTTTCAACGCAAAAATAGTAATAAATCTTTAAGATTTTTATTTATTTGCTTTAAACTTCTGTTTTGTTTCTTTCTATTTTCATATTCGTATTTATTTATCCTTGGGTGTATCCAAGAGTTTTTTCGAGGGGAAGATTTTATCAATTATGTTATCACATAAACAGCAATTAATTTAATAAATTGCTTTTTTGGATATTTTGGTGGACACAATGTCTTCTTCTCGTTTCTGATTTTAAATGGAAAAAATATTAGATTTGTAGATTGTAACTTTTATATTTTTCCTAAGAGATATAGATAAAATACAGTTAATAAAAACCGAAATATGTATAATAATTATGAATAAAATACTCATTAATATATTTCAGCTCGCGTATTGTATTTTTTGCTCAAAAATCTTGCAAAAATTTCCTTTATACATCGGACTTTATATCGGACATTCTGTTTAAGCTCTAACAGTAGTTTCAGAAATTATTTACATAGTAATGGGAAAAAAAATTGTATGAGACAGTAAGAAATTTACTTAAAATACAAAATTAAGTTGTACTTTTTTATAATTAAAAATGAAAAAAATGAATAAAAAATTTCAAAAGATTGAACCCTTAAAATCCTCCCCATAACTCTGGATAACGCTCATGTATCTATTGTGTAAATTATACATGATGATCGTGCGAAAGGAAATACAGATACTTTGACAACGTGCACTAAAATCAATTTTAAGGAAACGTTATTTTCTATGCTTTTTCTAAAAGAGAAAATTTTTTGAATATTCATGAATATTAAGGATGCTTTAGCTACGCGATATTAGCTAAATCAAATAATTAGCTAAAATAAGCAAATATTAGCCAATACTATTTAAGCAATCTTAATGATATTAGCTCGTGAATATGTCCTAAAACCAACTGGAAAAGGACAAAACAGTTTGGCTTTTAATGATTTTATTCAACAAAATGACTATATTTTTCTGCAGTTTTAGATAAATAACTTTTAAACGAATAAGTGAATCCAAATAAACTTTTGCACAAATATTTATTATTATTTGATTAGTATATGTATAGAATTTGATTTAATTTTTAATATTGCTTCCCCATCACGTATGCAAATAAGTATTATAAAACGCGATTTTACATAAGAATCAAGACAAAAAAAATTAAACAACTTTTAACTCAATATGAAAACTGTGCTTAAATTTTACAAAGATATTTAGACATGATAATGGAACAATCTATGAAATTTTTATATTTTTGGTAATGTTTTGAAATGAGACTCATGCATTTTTAAATTACATTATTAATCTATATTATTAATTTAGTATAATGATCTATAAGTTTCAATGAGGATAAACGATGATATCGGGAATAACATAGTGGATTTTACGTAACTTAAACGAACACATCCTACGTCCACCGGACTTTCACATGCAAAGTGTCAAATAGATCTTCGATCGCGGTCGTGCGACACCCGCCCGGTTAGCGAAGGCATCTTATCCCACATCCAATCGTGCAGTATTCCTACTCCCGCTCGAAGAATCTGAGCATTATCGGAAATGAAATTCCGGAAGGTGTCCGGCCATCACCCGGACGCGCATTGTGCTGCATTGTGCATAACTGAGAAGTCGTAATTGTATTTCCCCGGTCCTGTCGTCTCTTTTCTGTGAGTTGCGGTGGATCGCTAATCACGATCGAGTTGCCGGGGCGGTTCGGCGGAATATAATGCTGTAAAAAAATAATGGGGGAGCCGCGGTTCGTGCTTGATAAATTAGCATCGATGGCATTCGGTCCCGTTACGGTCGATATTTAATTGCCAATTAGAGGACGCAAAAGAGGCATTGCTGACGGGTGCTGGCTCGTTTTACCCGGCACACTCGTGAAAGTCAAGCCTCGTAATGACCAGCCGCAAGATTTATAAACGAAATTAATTACGTACGTACCGCCTCCGCGTTAACAATGCCGAGATCGCCTTTTTTTCTTTCGATTTTTCTTTCTCTCTTTTCCTCTTTCCCCTTTTATCTTCTATCTTGTTGCTCGTTCTGTCTTTCTACGGTAGCGTATCTTGTTCTACCCGTCATTATCTATTCGCTTTCGTTGTCACATCAATTCCTCGTTTAATTTTGCGACAGCGTTCTAACTATTAAATATTGACAACTATTATTTTATTTATTCGCGAGGTCAGTTGGATCAGGATAAATAAATGACAGTATGATATTGACAGATCAAAAATAAGCATCAATTTTGCCTTTTACGTGCATTAAATTAGATATGTGTTTTGTTCAAAATATAAAATGTCTAAAGGCCGAATTAGAACTCGAATGCAGTATGGAAAATAGATATTAATATTTGACAATATTTTTATTTATGTATAGATTTTTTCCTCTCAGTCTGCCAGCTTTATCTATGTTATAGCTCGATATTTTCAATTCATACAGCAACGGCGCCGGCGCGCGGCAATTCCAGTACTCTTACGTATGAAATTTATTATGCATCGAGGAGAGAACGGGGTGGAACGTTAGAAGACGCGTTGCGATTTCGCAAGATGAAAGATATTGGGAACGCGCTGCGGAGAGTCTCGTCGGGACAAAATATTCATAACGGTAGAATGAAATTCTGCCGGGTCGAGGGGATCCCTCCATTCACGCTCCACTCCCGGGATACAATTCCCGAGAATAACTTAGTTTCGTATCGGCCGCGGCTAAGTCAATTGCACTTTGGCAACTTGTATTCAATTATTCCATTTCAACCGGGAATGCGCTCACGACCTGATCTCGCGAGATTACAAAGGTTCGAGCTTAACGATTATTCGCGCGGAACGCGCCGTGCCGCCGTTGCCGTTACGTCTGTTTCTACTTGGCAGACCCAGTGCCATGGAAGAATCTACTGTATGTACACTACGGTAGTGTAGTATTATGCCGCCTATTACGTTAAGGGTCGATTTATGCTGAAACTTTGCAAATTATAAAAGCAATAGAAATTTTACATCGCATTAATTAGCAAATAGACGACACAGCGCAATCACTTATATATTGCTTGTTACATCAGGATATTCTCAAGATTTGTATATTATAAAAATAATGCTAATTTTATGGTTCATCGGTTCGGAAGACGATGTAAGTATCATGCGCTATGAACACTACAATTTCCTCATGCAAATACCGAATCTTGATTAACGCTGCGGAAATGATTCGCAATATTGTTTTAACATCTGGAAGTTCCCTTAACGAATCTACGCTGTAACGTTTGTTTGCGAGAATGTTTCTCATGTGTTTTAATGAATTGAGCGCGCTAAATTAGAAACAATATTTGACGAAAATGGCGAAAAATTTAATTTAATCCAATTCCGATTCCAAACATATTTCGAATTGTTTGAGATTATATTTTCAGCTTTTCGGCAAAAGCTTACGATTTACATACGATTTGCATAAAATGTAAACATCAACAAATTATTATACAGAATGCAGTAAAAATTGTAGCATAAACCAGCGAGAGTGTTGGTGAAAAATAATTCAGCACTTGCAGCACATGAAATTTCTACACATAAAATTTCTGCATATAAAATTTTTCCACAATTTTATTTGGCTATCCAGCACATTACATTACGATCTTCGCGATTTAAAAGTGTACACTATATTTTATTACCTGTAGATATGTATTGCATTTTCTTACTGTCTATACGTTCACCGCCGAATCTCCAGTGTTCTGACGATTAGGTTCGTATACGGAATGTAAGACGGGATCGCTGTCGAGCTAACAGACGAGCAGTCCGTGTAGAAGTGGCCTGAAGTACCGTTATCCGCACGTAAATTCAATTATACGTACAAAGCTACTACTGCGAACCACAACGACCACGAGTGTAGGCAGAAATTGAGGGTATGTGAAGCGAACGGGGGGAGGGGGGAAGGGGGAGAATAGGGCGGCTCTTATACACACGCGGATGAATCTATGCTACGTCTCTCACAAGGAGAAGTAGCCTCGTGACTCGCATACTACGGCAGAAATTTCATTTGTAGTCTGTTTCCCGTACAAGGGTACACAATATACGTACATGGTACGCATCTTTTATTCGGTTGACATCTTTCCGTGATATAGTAGTGATATTTAACTGTATTTAGATCCACTCGACTTTAATCGCAGTTTGATTTACTTTTAATTTTGGAATAAATGAATTAATATCAATTCCAATCGCAACTTTTTTTATTTATGCTTTGCCTTTCTAATTTTGATTTTGGAAAAGATTAACTATTTACGTTAATCATAGTTTAATTTATGTTTTGCCTTTTAAAATTTTATTTTAGAAAAAATAAACTATCAACGATGTTAATCATGAAAGTTTAATTGCTTTTTCTTTTTTAATTCTTGAAAAAAATAAATTACTATTGGCTTTAATCGCAACTTAATTTATGTCTTGTCTTTTTCATTTTTATTAAAAATAAATTATTATTGATTTTATTTACAATTTAATTTGTGATTCTTTATTTTTTTTAATTCGATCTGGTTTCGGAAAAGAACGAAGTTAGTGTATTTTAATGTATCTAATACTTAAATATTACTTCAAGTCTACCATTCTACTCTCTACAATAAAAAAGAGACATTAACTTAATTCAGATTATAAAAAGTACAGTAATTTTTTAAAAAAGTATCCATGTTATACTATTTTATTTTCCATTTTATTGTTCAATGTCAGCATTGTATTCCTCGTGTTGCGCCGATTCATACTCTTTCTAAAGTAAAATATGTTTGAGCTATAACGTTCTCGCTGAAAAGGCTCACAAGGTTCGACGACGACACGGAACAAAATGTAAAATCACAGACCGTGAATATCATTTGATTCTTCCGTCTTTTTTTCCTATTTATCCGATCAAAGCGATTCGCCCACTCGTCCCGCGAGCACTTATCCTCTTTGTGTTCACAGTCGAGACGCGCCATCGCTCAAAAATGTTTCTTGCCTCCTTTGAAAGATTGGGACGCCACAGCATCAAAGGTAAATTGAGCTCTTTTGCGACTTCGCCCCTTTTGGTACTCCGGCTGACTTTCTGCCGGAGGACGTTGCACAATTATTCGCGTATCTCTGTAATGGAGAGAAAGAACCGTAGAGGAGCAACAGCGATTCGAAGGTCATCGCTGATGGTAACATCATCTCGTTTATCGTAGAACCGTGAAAGCTCGAGGATCCTTGAGACGAATAACGTTACACAGGAGAGTCTCTTGAAACATCCCGTCATGTACCCGAAGAAAAGGATCACCACGGATGAAACATCGTCATTCCGAGAGAGTGAAATGTTTGAGAAAACGTTAAGTTTCGACTCGTCTTTTAATTTATACGCATCTTGCGAAGACCTAGAGACATTGCAACAGTGTCATTTGGATGAAACAAAATTAGCAGATCGTCTTATGCGTCAAACGTTAAATTCTTGATCAAAACTGCTTCGCGTGTAAGAAAGGTAGTGTAAAAGTTTTCCAAATATAATTTTTGAATGTTTGCTCTCGTGACCATTATTCTATCTAACTGTCCATTTTTATAACTGTTAATCAATAATTTATCGCGGTTTGCTTTTCGTCACGTTATCATGTAACTCGTTTGCTATATATTCACACCAAAAACCATATGCCAGTCGATATGTTGATACTACGAAATGTTTAACACTTTATATAATACAATAAAGTATTTAAAATATTTTCTCTTTTATACATTCCTAATTAATTTGAATGGGCTATATGCTATTTGAATAGGTATTGCAGATTAAATTTAATTGTTTTAAGAATAGAATCTACTAATTATTTAATCTAACAATCTCTCATTTATATAAATAAATTTATTATTACTATTTTAAGCCAAATTTTTAATTAAAAAAAACAAAATTATGTAATTATATTAAATAAAGAAATTTTAGGTACTAAAAAGTCTTGCTACTCATTCTTTTTTTATCAACATGATTTTATTTTATTTATAGTAAAATTTAAAAGAAAAAAATATAATATTGAGAGACTGCATAAATAAGCGAAGAAGGTTATATTCAGTCAAAGCAAGTTTTGGTGCTTAATGATATTGAGAGATTTATTTAATCTTTCTTTTTCGGTTATAAAACAAAAATCAAATTTATTCTTCAAATTTGAAACTTCTTAAAAAATAAAGCAGTTTGTCATTACAGATTGTCCATGTGCGGATTTCATAGTTTATTTTTATCTTATATAAGCGATTATGTCGAATGAATTATCTATTGTGTATTATTGCTTTATTGCAATAGTTGTGGATGGATAATCATATGTTTAACGCTGCGTGGATTTGGGCACATTTCTCATCGCACATTGAATTTTCCAGTGATTTAAATGCAATTTGCCTGCTATCTCCCAATCGAAAGCGCGAAAGTAATGCATGAACAGAACCAGAGTGATTCGGCTAACAAGCTATGATAAATCGATTGACATTGATATGATATTTATAATAATATGTACGTGAAATTTGGAATGTGTTACATATGCAATAATTCCGTTGCGTATTTTTGGTTGATAAATTGTATCCTTATTAGCCATTAACTTGACATGCGTGGTGTTAGCATGAAATTGCCGCCTTTTTTTTCTCATAAACGTAGCGTCACGAGTACGGATTGATTTCAATTTGAATAGAGACCCAATACAGTCGGTAAATATATAGTCGTTATTAATCCTGTTTTTCATTTATCCCAATATTATGCAATATCATCGCGCATAGAGAGATTTTGTATATTGGTTTGCTAAAATCCATATTTTATCGAAATTTCTCACGCGAGCAGTCGGCAAAGAAACTATCGTATTTTCATTTGTTGCTTTCTGTGTGGACATTTATTTTAAAATTTTACTCAATATTTATTTAATCGTATCATGATACGTACAATATAATAATATTAGCTATAAAACGCGAGCGTATATTATTATAACAGACGACATTGAAGTTTTTAAGTAGTGATAATAGGTTTAATGATGATTTGAAGATTCAACGTTTACACATATTTATATTATATTCCTATCAATCACATTATCTACACTGAAGAGGACCCAATATCAGGGTTGAAACGTCTGTATTCATTCATAATATACAATTTATTACACACGAACAACTAGTGTCGGCTCACATTAGCATTACCTCGTCACACACATCATCATAATTATTATTACACTGTTAAATCTACAGTGTCAAATTTAACTTAACGTGAGTCGCTACTGCTTCTACTTAATCATATCGTTATTTTATACTAAAACAATGATTATATTTGACACTATACAGTGTTAATTTGACAACGTCAAATTTAATTATCGTTTTTGTAAAAAATAATATATTTAGTAGGAGCAGTAGCGACTCACGTTAGGTTAAATTTGACACTATAGATTTAACAGTGTATATTGCGCATATTATTTGTTATTCAAGATTCGAAAGATGCATAAAAGTGCAACTAGAAGCAACAAGTCATATTGTCGCGGCAATAGTCCCTCCCACGTGAAATTGCAGACCGCTTGAAGTTAACCGCGTGAAGTTGACCGATTCGGTCGCCATCTTAGATGCGTTAGTTCCGTTCGTGCTTCATTAGCGAAATGTTGCGGGTATCGAACGTTTCATAATTTCGTACGGTTCCATTTTTCTGCTGTCGCAATGTGATTAAGTGCCGGTCGTGTGCGATTAATATCGAGTGTCATACAGAGTGCTGCGGTCGTTGTATTGTAATGATTAATGCATGCTTAATCGTAATTAACGTATTTTCGCGAACAAATGTTGTGTGAGTGCCATGAAGAAGCAACAATGGGGAAACGAGAGAGGAGAAGACCCAGGGAGGCGTCGGGTGACGGTGGAGCAACCGCGAGGTAAGATTTTCATAATCTATTCCATTATTCGTTGATAAAAGTAATTATTCGTTTACGCCGTATGCATTTTAAACTGTGTGATATAATAGTTGCTTTCCATTCCCATACAGCATTGATTGTTGCGGAAAATTTTCAGAAATGTTTCACATCTCATGTGCAACAATTCTGAAAGTATTCTGCAATATGTCATATGAAATGTTTTAACAGAAACGTTTCTAAAATCTATCAGAAACAATAAATTGAAAATTATATTTAAACAGAACAAAAAATCATCATGTTAAAATGGCTCCAAAATGTTTACTAAAAGTCATTTTTTGATCAATCACGATTCAATTTAATGTCATTTTAATGTTATTATGAGTTGTTCTACTTTAATTTCGAAAAACTTTTGTATATGAATAATGATATTGTGTGAAAACTGCAGGTGTAAGTGACTTTCTATTTTTCTAATAATGATTATGTATATGTGCTTATATAATGAGATTAATTAATCAAAATAGTTGGCAATATAATTACGATTTTTGAGAAATACTTTAAGTTTATTTCAGTAAGTTTGTTATTATATTTAACATACCTTTTATATTTAACATAATTAATATAATATATACATTACATATAATAAATAATATATACGTTATATAATATTAATAAATACATATAAAATGTTTTAAAGAATTTAAAATTTACATTTCATCTGGATTAGACTTTTTCAAATTTTATAAAGTTAATATCTAAAAAAGTGTTTCATTTATAAAATATGTAATTCTTCTATTATAAAATACCTAAAATTACGATTAAAAAATATTTTTGTATACTAATTATTCGTCGACAAATTTATTTTAGACAAATTTAAATTTGTTTTAATTTTAATATACTTATATTTGTTACAGATCAACGTTGTACATATTGTATAACTCCGCTGTTGCGCATCGTACCGGTGAGTAATTAATTATTTTATATTTTATTTTTGAGGTAATGAATTTATGAATAAGATATACGTAGTTATGAAAGAATTTTTATTGACAAACGGCAATTATTCGAATGTTTGTGAAGATAATAAATATGGCAGTAAAATATTCTGTAATGTATTGAAGAAAAGTGGTATTATGTTTCGGAGGCTACAGCAAAATGCTATTGTTTAACTTTGCATAATTCGAAATGAATGTAATAAAATGTTAAAAAACGAATAAAACACAGTATACATATGTTCGTGTAACAATAAGCTCAAGTTTAAAAAGAATGCGGAAGTGTGTATAGTGAAATACTATACAAAATGTATGTACCTTCAAAACATTTCGAAATGCTCGAAAATTCGTTATAATAAATACCGGCTATTGTGTATTGGTATATTAACGCTATTGTGTAACAACGGGCTACTAAACAAATGATTTCATAATTAATCATTGTTATAGAATTTGCTATTTAATAGCAGAAATTTTAAGAGGGGTCATTATATCTACAAAGGTCATAATACTATCTTCTCTTCTACCTATAACTTCTTTAATGTTTAAATACATTTATCTTTACGTTATGTAATCATGCATAAAGTATTAAATGTATTAATGTATATTGTGAGTAATTATATCTCATAGATCCATTGCCTCGTAATTGATGGGCTGTAATGAGTGTTACGCTTAGATAATTAAAAATTATTTAGATATAGATAAGATAAATCACACAAAAATGTATCTTAAATAAGATGAAAATGATTAACTTTACATTAATCCAAATAAAAGATGAAATTAAACAAATTTTTATCTGGGTAATTTTTAAAATAATTTTGTTTTTAACTAACTATTAGGCAGTAAAACGATTTGTACCCAATTTCTTCACCTCTAGATAACTTTATCCAAGAGATATCTCCCAGAATAATGAACATATCTCCTGGATAAGATTATCCGCAACTTATCTGGAAGTGAAGAAATTATGGGCATTAGGATACAAAAAATGTATTTATATTTTTATCAATCTTTATTTTTACGAATAAAAATGTTTTGAACGTTTTGTCTAATAAATGGTTTCTACGTGGAATTAATATTTGTTGTCCACAAATAAAAAGTCGCTCTACTGGTGCTGATAATGGCAATGATGTCATATTTAAAAAAAAATTTGTTTGACGTGTAGATACAAATTAAGAATATCTAATTCTTTAGATTTATCTTCTAAATATGAAAGTACTTCAATGTTACTTTGAATTATGACTGATGTTATACTAATCTCAGTTTTATCTATATATATATAAAAGAATTCTCATCATTACTACTACTAGAAGTTATATAGAAATTTTTTTACGATGCTATTCTACAATCTTAGTTAATTTGAAAAAAATTTTATCTAAGATAAGATAAAGATAATCTATGTTCTTAATAATCTAGATGAAGATAAGATAAAGCTATTTCTCCATCTATATAATTATCTAGATAATTATATCTAGATAACGGAAAACACTGGCTATAATGGGGTGTGATAAATATTTAACCTTGGACTCTTTTCATTATCTATTAATGGATTATTATGTTGCACTCGCACAAACAAGCATACACATGCAAAGTATAAAATAGAGCTCATCAATGTTTATTGAGTATAAAATTA